CATTTCCGGCCAATTCAAAGGGATGCCCATGCCAAAAAGTCTGGCGCTCCAAAGCCAACGCAGTTCATATAAAAATTGTGCGTTCCTCAGGTTATTGACATAAGATAGGATAAATGACTGGCGTCCTCGCGGCTCCTACTTGATTGCAATTAATTTTATGTGGGATTTTTCTTTCAAGAATTAACTGGAATGTATCTGTTGCAGTTGACCCATATTGAGCTGGTACAGTGATGCTCATGCGAGATACAAAAACCAGGCCCCTTCACTGTTGCTATTTGCCCATGTTTTGTCCTTATAGAATACATATTGATGTCATAAATCCCTTACTCCTCCTCTCATCGAAGAGTCTGGGCAGCTTAAGGAATTTGAATACCTCATACTGTAGCTAAGGTATTAATGCAGCTCCCACACCCCCAAACGCGTAGTTGACATGACAATGCTCGCATTGAAGGAAACAATTAACTGGCAAACATCACTCTTTGAAAAATTCTCAGTGCCGCAAAACGATTGAGAAAGCTTTACGCCTTGTGTTTGCTCCTTAACGAGGAACCCACATGTGCTAACCTACCATTGTCCTTAAATGCTGAAGCTGGGCGGGAAGGTTGCACTAGAGGATGCTTTCTATCCATGTTTGAGTGATCTAGTGGTGGCAACAATTCAGGCTGAAAAACGCTTCTTGAGTCAGTGCTAGCATTTACACTCATTCCTTTAGCCTTTGCAGTATCCTCGAAAAAGTGACTGTGCCTCACCCAATCATCTCACCATGCACTATCACAAGCGTACCTCCAGAATTATTACAGCGCACGTTGCCTCTCCATAGCTCTATACTTCAAATCTGTCACTCGTAGCACTAAAATCCAAGCTTTGACCACAAATTTATCAAACTACAGTTTTACAATATTTTTGAACAAGGGGTATATTTAGTATGTTTCACACGTTAGAGTTGAAAGTCAACACCATTCAACAAGGTTTTCAGAGAAAACACTGTGTTAATTGAAGAGGGGAGAAACTGGAGGAGATCACTCAAAAACCAGCTAATAGCTCTCAAATGTGGATTTACCCTTGCCCATGCTTCGCATGCCTTTAGGGGCGGCAGTGTATATTATGCTCTGCGAAAAGGTCCTGCGTTGTTACGCTCCTGCTGGAGAACATGGAAACAGCACTGCTGCTCACATCATCGCGCAATCCCAACGGTAAGCCGCTCACTAAGCGGGTACTGAAGCATTTACCCACAGGGACAAAACAGAAGCGCAGCTAGCACAACTCACTTTCACTATATTTGTAGTTGGCGGAGACCACCTGAATATTTTATTCCTGTTGCACAGAGCACGCCTCCCCATACAAGCTATGGCCCTTTTGTACTGTAGCAGGGCCTCGAGGAAGCATTGAGACGCAAAAATTGCTAGTCCATGGCTTTACTACCAGTTTTAATCACGTCTGAGGATACCGTTTAACACTCTTTAGTCCAGGGTTACAGCTGTAAGGCAAGAGAGCTAAGTGTCCTCGGACGAATGTCCTTGCTGCACCACCCAAATTTCCGTTGCCAGCTATTGCTGCAGCCGGCCATGGCAACCAAGCATCATGATCTTGTGTGCCTAAACGGAAGTACCTAGGGGCATGCAAAAGCCGAACGGAACAGGCTGAGGCAAGGAGGTAGCTGATTCAAGAACCCCAAAACAAAGCCAGCCGCGCGAAAGCGTTTATTTGGCATCTAGCCTGATGCAACAATAAACAGAGTCCACGTGGTCCTTGAAACGTACCCGATCGTAAAAGCCAAGAAGGGGCAGATTGCAAATCCATCGCACGCAATCTAAGCCACCAGAAAAACAATGCCATAAGACACGGCTTCCCGCAGGAGTGCACGGGGTCTCCTTGCATACAGACCGCGCTCCACTAGGCAATCAATACTGATAAATTCAGATCTGCGACGCTGTATTCGTACAAACAATTTCAGGAAGTAATACTTCCTAACGCTTCCTAGTTCAAGTGCTAAGTTGATTATCCTGGATGTAGCCCTGCGTGCCAATGCCAAGGACAATAAAACTACCACTCTCCCCGGCAGCAACAAAGCTGCCTCGTAAAACATGGGGGCACGATTCTTTCTCCTTCGAAGTCTGAATCAGAGGCTTGGGATACTGGTTCCTAGGATCAGGAGGGCCAAGCAAACGGTTCGAAGTTAGGATGCTTGGTAGCTGCAAGCGAGAGACTAGGTTTCCAACTACTAAACTGTGTGAAAAGCGTTTAGAGATGCCTGTAGGATGCACTACCGGGGTTTTTATAGACTTAGAAAGGGCTACAATCAATTTAAATAATCGGCATTCGATGTACAAAGGCAAAACCGCCGATTTGAGATTTGGGGGGATTTCCCCGTGTCTCCCACCCTCTGAACTCTGCTAGATACGCATGAATATTGCTACAGATCTTTCTTTATTCTTGTCCGATTGTCTCCTGTCCGCCATTCTGAAACTTGTTGCTTATGAGTTTTTGCTTATCGGGTTTCCTCTTTATAAATCTTTTGGTCTTCCGCGGCTTCCGCTTTCGGGTCTCCCCAGTGGCACGACGCCGTGAGGCCATCAGCACGTTGAGAAATCGTACGGCTGCACAGAATGGACAGGCGGTGGGGTAACTATAGATCCTCACAATCAAGATCCATTTATCGGAGTTAAACAGCACAAGAAGAGGTCTATTACACGGAACTGAACAATCACTATAGCAAACATGCCCCTCAAATAGACAGAAGTACACAAAATGTACCGGAAAGGACAGCTTAGATCAAGGGGCGGCAATTAAAGGAAATAAGAGGACGCAGGAGATTAAGTGAAATACGGAACAGCACGAAGACAGAATGCCAGTAATTCATTGTATGTCCACTGCGGAGCCAGGAACACATGCTCCTACTGCCTCCCGAGCAACCAATAGAAAGAACTAGGCATTCAGAGGAACGCATGCCTCAAGAAGGCGAATGCTGACTTTAAATGTGCCACAGACCACGAGGTCCTGTGAGAGTTTGAGCCTTGGAATTCTAGACGTTCAGATTCAGGGAATGCTAAACTAGTGCTTTTTTGCATGGAGTATTGGCTCACTGCCTTTGGTCGCGAGTCGCTTGAGGTTGGCCTCCTCTTCGGGGTCTGCCTCTGAAGGCTGACGGTGGGACTGACTGCGTTTTAAGCGTCGTTCCTGAACAAACAAATTCCACAAACTAAAACCCGCAGGCTCGTAGAGGCCTACTTATCTTTGGCTTGTAGAGCCATCAAACCATCCATCATCAATTTTACAGTAACCATGAAGCTTTCGCCTGGACGTACTGCGATGACCTCTTTTCTGACTTTTTCCTCAACCTGTTGGTTTCTCAGGTCGGCGAATACTCTCTGGTCCCTCGAAAGAACTGTCGCAGAGCCGTCCTCGCCGCCTTCCAACAGCGAGGCGATTGCTGAAATGCACAAACCATCAGGCACAATGCGCTGAAGTCACAGCACGGATACAGCGGAACTTTGAACGAACATTAATATGCAAAGTGGATACGTTTAAATGTGCATGCTGCTTTGGGGCTGCGGGGATGGGTATGGTGGCTGACCTGAGGAAAAGGCATCAAGCGACTCGCCCATTGACTGGCTCTCTGCATCCCTCTTGCAGTGTCCATGCAGATCCCGCTGCGTTATTTCCGCCTTCAGCTGTGAACAGCACATGCGTTGGGTGCCTGTTGTTGGTCCGTCTTCCTCGGTGACATCACGAAGGTCGACGGCTTGACTTTCTTCCACCTCGTCTTCTTCATCGCCCTGAGACTTTAGAGAGTGATGCAGCTCGCTGATCCGCCGTTCCATCAGGTCTACATCCCTCTTCCTTCTCTCCTCCTGATGCCGAATCTTCTTTGCCACCTTCTGCCTATCTCTGGCAGGGTGTTGTTGTTGTTGCTGCTGCATTATTTGCTGGCCTGGCTCTTGCAGCTCGCTTGCATCAGCCTCCTGGAACGTGCCGAGCTTGCGTTTGCTCTTCCTCTTCTCCATGATTGCGTGTAATGTTGGGCATAACTGTGCTAATTACCGTCCCCGCTGTAGCTGCTTGTGCCGTTCTTCCTACCGCCACGAGCCTTCTAGGGGCTGAAGCTGGAAACCTGTGGCGGCCTCACCGTCTACGGCATTGAGTGGGTATAAAAGGGATTCAAAGGTTGGAAGGATAGGATGTGCGCCTTGGGGACCTTCTGTTCAATGCAAGTAGGCCTTGCTCATGCTCCTCATGCTAGGCTGACCTTTGTGTCCAGTATCACGCCCATGCCTCTGTATTTGTAAGGGGAAAGGTAGAAGAACGGCAGCCAGGGGGTCCAGTGATCTGCATTTAGGATTTAGGGCTGGACTCCTTTATCCCTGTGCATGCGCGGGGGTTCAAGATGTACAAGTCACCGTTGGGAGATTGGATTAAGTAGCCTGAAGCTCTTTTTCAATGATGATCTTAAACTGCTTTAAGAGCAGGAGCAAGCGGATTTAGCGGTTCGAGCTCACAGCTACAGCTACGGGTATGGCATTTGGCTTGGCGGCTGCATGCTTTGGGGGCAGACCGGGCAGCCTGCGGCGCATGAAGGTGCCGGGAATTGAGCGTTCTCAATAGTGTTTGTACGGTAAAATCAAGTTGTTTCGTTAAGGCGATTATGGTTTAGGGATTGTGGCTTAGGGTCTGGGGTTTGCGTGGCTCCCCCCCCTTTTCCCACCAACTGCCTTACGGGTCTGCCCTTTTGCGCATTCTTTCATTTTCCTTTAAACCCTGGGGTTTGCCTTCCTATCCACTCATCCTTCTAAGGACTCGGGGCTTAGGGTTTGCGCCGTTCGCCGTTTGTCTTCCCTCCATCTACTGCCCCCAAGTACTTCCAGTCGAGTCTGCCTGCATCTCTGCAGCTGGACACCCGAATCTGAGGGTTACAAGCTTTGATTTCCTTCTCTATCTGTTTGTCTGGCGCCCCTGTCTTTCTCTTCAAAGGTGCTGTGTCTCTCTTATAGCATCGGGAGAAGATGTCGCGTCTAGAACCGGACACGAATTTTGTGTTTGAGACGTCAGAGGATTGCAAGGTGGTGCCGACGTTCGATTCTATGCAGCTGAAGGAGGAGTTGCTGCGGGGCGTCTATGCTTATGGCTTTGAGCGGCCTTCAGCCGTGCAGCAGCGCGCTATCCTTCCGATTATCCAAGGTAGAGATGTGATCGTCCAGTCACAATCGGGTACTGGCAAGACTTGCGTGTTCTGTGTCGGAGCACTGCAGTGCATTGACAGCAAAATCAGAGATCCACAAGCCCTTGTGCTATCTCCTACACGAGAATTGGCGGAACAATCCCAGAAAGTTTGCCTCGCCCTAGGCGACTACCTCTCCGTTCAGGTGCATTGCTGCGTGGGTGGAAAGCGGGTAGGCGACGATATTAGAGCCCTTGAAGCCGGAGTACACATTGTATCGGGCACTCCAGGCAGGGTGTTTCACATGATCAGCGACAGACACTTCTCAACAAGGCACATCAAAATGTTGGTATTGGATGAAGCAGATGAGATGCTGAACAGGGGTTTCAAGGACCAAGTCTACGATATATACAGATACCTGCCACCAGCGACACAGGTGGTGCTGATCTCCGCAACATTGCCGCATGAGGTAAGCATGGCCAATTCAGTGCTTTTCTCGTACATCTGACTTCCCCCTATCGATGCGCACAGATTGTCTCCTGCCTCTCCTCCCCTATCCTGCCTTGTTCTCGCTTTGCCCCGGCGTGTCTGCGCCCCAGGTACTGGAGATGACGACCAAGTTCATGTCCAATCCTTTTCGAGTGTTGGTAAAGCGTGATGAGTTGACGCTCGAGGGAATCAAGCAATTCTTTGTTGCTGTCGAAAGGGAGCAGTGGAAGTTTGACACGCTCACTGATCTATACGATACGCTCACCATCACCCAGGCCGTCATCTTTTGCAATACCAAAACGAAAGTCGAGTGGCTTGCCCAAAAACTCAAGGAAGCGAACTTCACGGTGCGCAACTAACGGAGAGCTCCTAAATGCGCCAATTTAGACCCGAGGACGCCTGACTCGCATCACGTTTTTTGAACTCTTTAATCCTATTGCACTTGAACGTTTGGCCCGGTTGCTACAGTGCATTCGGGTGCTGCATGTAGGCGGCCCCTGGTGTAGTGACACTGTGAGCCGCCCCTATCTGCTTGTCTCTAATACTACTTTGACCTCTTTTTTGGGGGGGTGCTGTACCCTAGAACTTGCTGTGTGTGGCGTATTGTGTTTACCATCAATGGTTTAGGTGAGCCGGATGCACGGTGACATGCCCCAGAAGGAGAGAGACGAGATTATGAAGAACTTCCGAAAGGGCCAGAGCAGAGTCCTTATCGCCACCGATGTCTGGGGGCGCGGACTGGACGTACACCAGGTAACGCACCAATCTGAAGCCTCCCATATGAAGCGTGGGCGTCAAAAATCATAGTCTTCTAGGCCTCTAGACGACCGAACAAAGGAGTGTACAAGGACCTGTGGTGTGGGATTTGATTGCTACGATTCAGGTCTCTTTGGTGATCAATTACGATCTCCCCAACAGTCGTGAGCTGTATATTCACCGCATCGGTCGCTCGGGGCGCTACGGAAGAAAGGGTGTGGCAATCAACTTTGTCAAGGTGGGTGAACGCAATCTTAGTAGAGCCCTTGGCTATTAACTCAGAAGGCTGCTGCTGCTGAAAACCAGTCGATCACGAGGTAGTGGGCCCACTGCAACCCCCATGCTGTGAAGGGCGGTCTTGCACCTCAAAGCCCTGTACTGCAGAGAACAGCTGAAGCGCCACATAGAATCCCTTCTCGCACAGTGTGAAACGAGACAGAGTATAGTGCCAGCCTCACAGAATGTCAGATCGCTCCCACCACACGTCTAATTCTCAACGTTCATGACATGTAACACACTTCACAGTTAATGAGCAGTAACAGGAAGTGAACCCAAATTGGTGTCTGTGTCCGTAGAACGACGACATCCGCATTCTGAGGGATATTGAGCAGTACTATGCTACCCAAATAGATGAGATGCCAATGAACGTTGCCGACCTCATCTAAATCCCCACCTCTGAACCACCGGCCCTATGTCACGGAGTGCCGCGGAGTGGTCTCATTGGGCGCAATGCAACAGGCTTGGAACGGCTTGCACATGTTCTTTTTCTCTGAAACAACTAGGCTTTTGCGATAGCTTCGTAACGATATAGCTGAGAGCTTGGGTTTGGGTATGTAGGGCATCATAGCCTGCTGGCTTAAGAACGTAGGCCGCAAGCTGTGGTCTGCGATGAGCATTGTCGTACGGTCTGCGTCCTGCTAGTTGCGCTATAGTTGCCCTTCCTGGAGTTGCTCCAGGTGTACGTACAGCAGTAAGATGGGAGTTCAAATGATGATGTGGTGGGTCACCGTCCAACAGATGCATAGACTTTAGGATGTGTGCCCTGTCGTTGAGCGCGTAGTTTGGCGAAGACACGCATTTCACAGGGAGGAGAGGGCAGCAGTTTTCATATTAAGTTGAATAAGGCAACAACACTATTCTAGCATCGGGAAGCAATCGCTTGCTTGGGCTGAAAGAGGAGGGGCCCCCGTAAGGCCGCGGGCGTCCAGCCCTGTACAGCTTGAGAAACAGGCTGCCTAATATTGCCAGACATTTCTGTCGGTCTGTAATTTTGCCAGACTATTTTGAGAGATCAATCGCCGATCCTGCTGTCGCCTTCAGTGTTGGTCTCCTCCACGCAACTCCGTTTCGAGGGCTAAGCCCAGCGCTCGGAGGGGTTGCATTGTAGAAGAGATCCCCTCCCGGATTTTTTTAGCATTGTTACTTCCTCCCCTGTTTGCCTGGAACCTAGAAGTGCTCAAGGAGGCACAGCCTGAACAAGCACCCCGTGAATTAACACCTGAGCTCCACATCAGAACTCGTTGTAGGCAGATCTCCTGCGCCGACAACAAGCAGCTATAACTTTTTCTTCATTTCATATGCCATATGAAAACTATTCCTCTCCTTAACATCACACCAAAGCCTCAAGAATCCTTGGGCCAAGGCTCCATTTCAATGGCAGCTCCTTGCTGCCTTACGGGTGCAGTCCCACCGGCTTAGGGAGGTACACCAGCAGCAGCTGCAGCCACATCAAAACCAGCAATAATTGCACACGTAGGAATACCCTTTCAAAGAGAACATGTGGAGGGGCGCTCGCTAGAAGGTGGCCCATGAGGCCTCTGGCAACGCAGCACCCCAGGTGCTTCCTGCCGCTCCTGATACTGCTTCCGCTACTTCACGTGATTTCTTCCACGCACAGCAGGTCAACAAGCTCTAAGTGCACCGCTCTTCGTGCCTTTCTCGCTGCGGGGAGGGCTGCCTATATCTGGAGCAGCAGCAGCGACAGTCCCTACGTAATCCAGCTGCAGCGTAGAAGACAGCAGAGCACCTTCGAGAAGCAACAACAGCAGCAGGTGGCGCAAGTAGGAGCATCAAGTGCATCCTTGAGTGCTTCAGGGGCTTTGCGTGGGCCTCTGCCGTCTTCACTCCAAGCCTCGCCAGCAGCACTCGAGCCAGCCTCGCCAGCAGCACTCGAGCCAGCCTTGCCAGCAGCACCCAGTGAGATAGGAGACTTAGCAGCAACAGCAAGTCACGGGCAGCGGAGGCGACCATGGAATAAGGGAAGGCCGTGGAGTGCAGAGGAACGCCAAAAGATTGCTGTTGGGTATCTAGTACACTGAGCCTCAAGTTCTCAAGTCTCAAAGAATAAGCAAGCTTCCTTCTTTTAACCCCGGCCCCCTTTGCATTTAGGGTGTCTGTGTTTAGCGTTTGCGTTCGTGTGTAGGACACGGCGCGCTATGGAAGCCTTGAGAGCGCGGAGACCTCCGAAGCCACCCCCCCCCAAAAAAGAAAAAAAGCCTCGAGTTGTACATGACACCACCAGTCGCAGCAGCGCTTGCCTCGTCAATCATTCTAGCGGCAGAATTCGTAGCGGTTAAACGGGCAACGTCAGTCTTGCTGCGTATTCTGTGCTTCGGTGTGCAGCTGAGCGCCGCGCACCTGGCGAAGCTCTCAGAGTGTCTCCGCGAGAGGTGGCGAAACGAGCAAACACGAAAAATCTTGATTGAAGCACTGCGCAGTGTAGGGCTTCTTCAGTGTGTACGGACTAGGGTTTGAGGTTTGAGGATGCGGGGTGGCCTTCCCTTATCACGAATTCCAGTATTCATTAAGCCGCGGGAAGAGGGGCAGCAGCGGCGTCAGTCAATGGAGCCTATTGGCGCATTAGCCTTTCAGAAAGACCGCCGCAGCTCCATCTACACGCCTTTGGAGGAGCTATAAGTGCTGTTCGGTTGCGTGAATCTGTGGCGTAGAGGAGGCAATCGGAAGAGACAAGGCGCAGAATCGCAGCAAAGATTCGCGACAAATGGAAAGATGCGGAGTACATGCAGAGGGTTTGCCAAGCTATGGCGAGGGTAACTCGCATGGGCTGGCTGGCGATGCGTGTGTTGCTGGGATTGCTTATGGTGCTTGTGGTGTTGCCAGCAAACCACATGCTGCTTAGCTAAAGTCCGCCCCTGCATAGCGCCTCTCGTGCTTTGTTTCAATGCGGCAGGCGAACTCGAGTAACGAACGGCGGCAAAAGATTTCCCAGGCGCTTAAACTCAAAGTGAGCCGCAAGCTTCAGACCCTGTAGTGTGCACACCTTAGGGCTGATCACCCCTGGAGGCGATTTACGGCTTGCACCTTCGTACGGCACTGGGCAGACGAATGATGTCTTGGCATTCCTGGAGCGTTTATGTATATATATACATATATATATGGGCTACGCGTGTGTGGGTTCAGTGGCAAGACGAGGCCTTTCGCGCGCGGATGCGTAGCCGTCGATTGCCGTTCTCCGACGAGAGACGCCGTCGGTTGAGCGAAGCTATTGCGTGAGAATTCAGGGGTTAGGAGTTAGTATGGAGGGCGCATCGCTCATGTATTTTGATTCAAAGGGTTTGGGGTTTCGTTGTGTTGCACAGTTTTCAGTTTGAGTTAAGCCGTCGTGGGCAGCCAGACAGCTACGGCGTCTGGTCCAGTGCAACGTCTGCTCCGATCTAAAGGGATTTTGTGTGCAGACGGCTTTGGCATGGGAACGCGGCCTACCGCGAGAAGACTTTGTCGGGTATTCGGCGTCACTTGAGCTCAAGGACCACAAGAGAGTCAAGACAGTCGTATAAGGATTCATTGTTTCAGAACTCCGTAGGCTCTAGACTCAGCTTACGACCTAAATCCCGAGCTCTAGCAAAAATTAATTCCACCCGCAGTACGTGGTACACGCATCGCAACGTCTCTCGAAGTTAGCGTTCTTGCGGTTTTGCAGCTGACAGGTGGCGGTCGGTTGTGGAGCTCCATGTACACTCGGCTAGTCGCGCAACACCAGCAGAGGCAGGAGCAAGTTCAGTAGCAGAACTTCTGGCTGCAGCAACAATAATATGGCCTGAACTGTACCTTTCCATAGGGGTGTTTTTATTGAATGGATAAGCCTCTGCATGGGTTGGTTCCAGAATCGGTTCTCCCCCCGGCAGCGAACGAAATGCGAGGCATCCGCTTTCCCCTTTGTGCTGACCCAACTTCTCAGCTTCCGCTTGCCCTTGTCCTGTTTGTTTACCCAGCTCTGTGGCTTCTACCCCATGTAGCTATACTGTGAGTCAGCTAGCTAGCAAACTTAGGCTGCAACTTGACGAAGGTTCTTCCTACCCAGATAACTGTCTAAGTAGGTGAATCGGCCTATAGATATCTACAAAAGCTATTTGGAAGCTATCCATAAAGGAACTTAGCTGGCCCGGGGCCAGCGGTCGGCTAGCCGTCCAACTATCTGCCTTAGCAGGGAAGCAACCTGGGCATTGTTCATCCGTTCAGATTCCCGTTTGCGCAAAGAGTGAAGAAAGATATCGCGGGAGCATCAAAACAAACGTGGCACACATAGCGCTCTGGCTGGCACTGCCCCCCTGGCGCCAGCAGTAGCTGTAACGTGCCTTGCTGTTGGTAATTGCCGCCATTTGTGCATTTCCCAAGTGGCAGCAAACGCGCGGTGCATACACCAGCCTTGAAAGAACATACGTTATGCACGGCCACAAGCCACAGAAAGCTCTATAAAGCAAAGCAACTCACTTTGGGTTAAAGCACATGAAGAGACGAGTAAGCATAAAATACAGCCATGTACAGCTGGCACGTAAAGTCTTACTCGAATCTCAATATCCTCCTGAGTCATAATCTGTCGCAGTCTCTAGATGTCTAACTTTATTTGTTTTGAGTTTCCTGTTAGTTTCTGTTCGGTGTTCATCGTGCCTTTTCCGCTTGCTGCTGTGCAATTTCGTTGTAGAGCTGTTTTATCTCTACAAGGTATTTGTCCCTTGCCGCGGACCTTATGACTTTCATTGTGGGCGTCACAAGACCATTTTCAACGGTAAAGTGCTCGCTCGTTAAGTGCACGCCCTTAATTATCTCAAACCCTTTCAGCTGCTGTCGACCCAGGGTCTCTAGGTCCCTCAAGATTTGTTCCTTCAGGGATCTATCGGACAAAAGCTTGTCGGTAGGAACCGCACTCTGAACGCATGCGCGCAGAAGGTAACATGCAAGCAGAGGCACCGGTTTTGCTGTAGGCACTGGTGTACCTGTGTTAATAATTGTACATGGAGGGTGTACAGGGACTGGGAGGCGGCACCCATTCAACAGATATCATTTGGTAACGGCCCAGAAAATTTTTTGAGAGCACAAATGCGAATCATATTCATACACACTGGTGCAGCGCGCTAAGAGGCTAAGTGTAGGGTTAGAAGCGCGAATCACGTGGTCAAGAAAACATAAAAAGCATCACAAAAAAGGTTAGAGGAAAAGCAGCATCAACGCAAAACCAACAAAACACGCAAGACTATCAAAATCAAACACAATATGGCGCCATTCAAATATTCAAACGGTGAAAAAAGAAATAAACGCAAGACGCACCTTTCCGTTATCATCTGCCCACTTTTGAATCGCAGCACCAGATGGAACAACCACAGCGACCAACGCGGCCTAAGAACGTACACAACACATCATAAGTCAAAATGCAGGAGCATGATAGCGCCAAAATAGGGCGCCAAATGCACAAGTTTTGCTCCAACGTCCCTCCGTTGCAAAAGCTGAAAGGAAAAAGGCCTGTATTTCCCTCAACCCGCTCTCTCCTTACCCATAAGGAAAGTAAAATGACAAGAAATCCCATACATAAAACCATGCACACCCAAAGGCAGGCAAGGAGAAACTGGGAAAAACAAGAGCAGGGCACAAGTGTCCTTCGCACCTCGAGTGAATCCCCATAGACGAAGATCTGATCAACCCAAGGACTGTTGCTATAAATGTTCTCCAATCGCTCAGGGGCCACATATTCCCCCTAAAAACAAAGCGCTTGAAACAGACTTAATGCGCACAATGGTCACAGCAGCAACCCCACCAAAATACCACCCGCTCCACCCGGTTCTCCCTATGGGCTGGTAGCAATCTAGCGTGTGCCTGCAGAATCAAGAACTGTAACCGAACCCGGGGAAAAGCCTCACCAAAAGACCATATCGTGTGTCCTATTAACGCTTTGTCTTACATGGGCGAGTTTGAAGATATTCTTTGCTCGATCAATGATCTTGACGGCTCCATTAAGCTGAATTTCCACGACGTCGCCGGTGTGTAGCCATCCGTCTTTGTCAAATAGATCTTTCGTCTTCTCGCTGTCTAAGAAGTACTCCTTTACTAAGCAGGGGCCACGCACCAGCAATTCCCCCCTGAACAGACGGCAAGCAGGCCAGTAGTCTTAGCTTTCCCTCGTCCTCTTTTCCACACACTTGAGCACTCCTCAGAGTACTCTTAGGAGAACAGACTCCTCCCAACGCCCCAGAAAACCGAACCATTAAACTCTTCGTTGAAGATACCTTGGTGGACTTTGGCGAGCATCATACTGAAGCGCCGGGAGAGAGATCACTTTGTATTCGGTAGAGGCTAGAGGCCCCCCAATGGTTCCTTTGTTTCCGTCTGCCGCGTCTTGCAAGAAAGCGATGCCTGACTCTGTCATGCCCCAACCCTGAAACGAAGCACAAGCTACAAAGCCGTAAAACTAATGAGAAGAAAAGCAGGCGCCAAATTACACACAAGGCAAGAGGTCGCCCGAGTGAGATTTAAAGCGAGGCGCGATTCGAGAGGGCAGACACATAGAGATGAGATTGCGGCACGATACAGGTGGCACAAGACAACAAACACCCCAGGTACAAAGAAGATATCAGCATGCGACAGACCGAAAAGTTGGGAAAGTCTAGTATGCCAGCAATAAAAAGCCACAGCTCCACAGAGAGGAAATTCAGGCTAAGTAACGGCAGCACATTGGCACAGACATGCGGTTAAATGAAGAATGCAGGAAGGCTCACCTCGCAAATGAAGGCAGAGAGGTAAAGCTGCAATTCTTTGAGCTGCTCCGAGTCCATAGGGGCGCTGCCCATCGAAAGGGTTCTAATGTTGCCACCGAATGTCGCCCGCACCTTTTTGAACAGCTGAAGCGAGCAACCACAGGAGCAGAAACTTGGTGATCAGTCATGCGAAGCGCTACGACTTCCTAGCGGATTTGATGAAGAGGGTCTTGATTATCTCCCACAACCCAGAGAGCCTTTCGGGCCGAAGTACGGAAGGATTTGCATCCAGATGGAGTTTGCATGTTCAGCAAGAAGTCACGATCGCTAGGGAAGGCATGCGGCTTGTAAGGGTGTAGTCAAGTGTCTAACAAGGTCGGGTATAAATCCGGAGACGGAGGTAGGGTCCTTTGCGTATTTATGCTTCTTGGCGTCAAGGGCTTTCCCGGCGAGCCACTGTATCAACGGATGCTTCTCTTTAATCCCAGAATTTATTTTGGTGAGAATCTTTCCAAACACCCTTGGAACGCCGATGAAGATGGATGGCCGGGCTAACTGTAAATCCTCCGGCATGCGTAGCAAGTCTCCGCTGAAGTATGCAATGCGAATCCCTAGAAGGGTCACCACCAGCTCCACTTCCCGCTGATAAATATGAGCCAAGGGCAAGTACGACAACGTACTGTCACCGACAGAGACACGCATTCTGTTAGCGCTACTCATGTACGAGCCCACAAAGGACAGTAACGAGCCGTTGGTGTGAACAGCACCCTTTGGAAGACCGGTTGTTCCTACGGCGCGCCAACAAAGCACCCATCACAAAAGGCAAAGCTTTGGCCTTGATACATACCCAGCACCTAAACAGCGGCTAGCCTACAAAGGCGATGAAAAAGACGCATTCAAAGGTAGCGCAGGCAGAAGCAGAGGAGCCTCCTAACGCAGTGTACGCACTACAGAGCTGCTCCGACAAGCAGTCTAGCTGGACGAATATTCACACTCCACGCAGACTCTTTGTTATTCTGCATGCAGAGTAGCAAGTGGAGGACCTAACTAGCTCAATACACTGCGGAGATGTGTGATGGCGAAAACGTTCGAGGTACCTGAGGTGAAAATGATAGTGCTGACGTCAGCTAAAGAGGGCTTCAACTCGTCCGGCGTCTTCGTGTCCGCGATTGTGAGATACTGAATTCACGTTACGAATCACACACAGCAACCTTTGGGGCTCCTTAATGGCTAGAACTAGGGGTTTACGGGCGCTATTTTGCTAGAATCTGCCCCTTACCTTCCTGCGGAGCTTCTCTTGGTGGAACAGGTGCATGCCGGCGGCTTCGAAGGCTTGGAACTGTTCCTCCGTCGGCTGTATGTACACAAATACACCTTTAACAAGGCCATAATTCTCGAGAGCTCCAACCATCGCTTTTAGTTCATAAGCGCCAGCATGTATTCGGGCATATATTTAGAGACGAGGAAACCGACAGAAAACAAAAAGCGCCTAGCGATTAAGTGCAAGCGAGTCCTCAAAAAAGCAGAAAACGTGTTGAACCGGTGGAGAGAAGCGCTGCGAGTCCGCACGCCGTACAGGATCAAAAGAAATAATGGCCTTCAACGGGTATCCTGACTCCTTCAACCGCAGTACAGATGGCAACTTCGACCCTTCAACTGCCATGACTTCCATCTCTGCGAACGAACCGTAGAGCCTTGACCGCAGCCGTAACGAAGATACAGGACTCTACCGAGGCGGAGTGTAGCGACCGAATAAAAAGCAATAAAAACCCCCTTTCCTCCCCTCGTTCCCCCCACAAGTCGAGGGAGTTCGCCTTATCGCTCACTGGTCTTGGTGATAATGTGGTTCAGGGATTCTTCCCCGAGAGTGTCGTACAGTGGGACTGTCACGATGCCGCGGTAACTCGCTGCAACGACGTCACAAACACTCGTTCAGCGCTAAATACCAAGTCGCCACTTCGAAACCATGTACCCTGTCACTCCGGAAAGCCTCAAAGTCCTTACCTGCGAAGTCAACTAGACGCCAGTCCATTCTCGATCTAGACCAAATACCGAGGATCCTCATTGGGCTGGGAGGAGGGCTGTCACCCTCTGCCTCATATTCAGAAAGCGAAACACCGACTTCCTGATCTAAAGCGCGACCCAACGCCTCAACAACTCGCAGTGTCTGGTAATACGAGAAGCACACGCATGCGCGAACAAACCTACACAAACGAGAGCTTGACTCGCGAGCACACGCTTCAGAACCGCAGGCCTAATCCCTAGAAACGCAAAGCCTTACATCTGCGAACGTGAAGTATTTGAAGTTCGAGAGCTCGATCTGCTCGCCCTTCTCATTTCGAATGGGAAACCTCTCCCCGAGATACAGCGCTCGGCCATATATGCGGGCAGCCTCCCGCATCAACATATACCTGCAGACGCACACATGGTCAGAGGCGGAGGGAGGAAGGAAAATCGGCTGCAAAGTCAGACAGCGAAAGCGATCAGGAGCGACAGAGAGAGAGGCCGCAGGCGAGACAAGGAGGAGGCACTGAGGGAAGGGCTAACGAATCAGCGATTGCTTGAGGCTCAAGTTGTGCCTGCCTCACGGAGATTTGACATGAGGGAACTGGGGGATTCCCTCCGTTCCAAATTGCGTGACATCTGGATTCGACGGATCCTTCACGCAGCGGTAGACCGCGGAAGTTTCTGTGTTCACGCAAGAAATGAAACAAGGCACAGGCAACGACACGGTGCAGAAAACGACACGAAAGATGGCAAAGACGCAGATCGCAGAAGGAAGGGGAAGCACAGCGCGAACTTTAGCAGACACCACAAAAAATGAGAGGATAAACGAGTGCATGGAGAAGGTGCACATGATCCTGACACAACAGTAGAGAGGATGAGCAGCAGCCCCCTTAGCCGTTTGATGCATTCGCATCTTGTTCCTCTCCCCCAAGCCTCACCCTTCCACCCTTTTTTGGCTTCTAATCTATTCCCCTTTCCTGAGGCTCCCCGTCAATTGTGCCTGAGTTGCATACTTTTCTGTCGGTGCCCAGCTCTTATGAAACTGCCTTCGCCCCTCGCGCCTCTGCGCCTGCTTTACAGTGTACCTCCCCCGATTCCATTTAGTCTTACCGTTTGTCTCTGTACCCGGAATAGGCAACGCATAGACGCCCTTCCAGTCTTTCACTTCAAGCAGCTCGCTAACCCTCTTAACCTCCGCCTCGTCCGTCGCGTCCGCCGCAAGGACTGCGCACTCCTCGAACAAGTCATGCATCCTCAACAACAGCAACCCCACGGAAAGCAACAAGCGACGACTGAATCTGCAAAAACACGGAACAGCGCCAGCAGCAAAACCTGTCACTCTATCTGAAACAAAAAAGCGCACAGAGGGAACGGTAACACGCAAACGCGGGGGGAAAGAAAACGGTGGCACCCTTGGAAACGCCAGAAAATTCACAAGTGTGCAGCAACACACACAGATATCGAGACCTTAGGACACAAACAACCCAGCACTCGCCACTGCAAAAAATTCAGGTGCCTGGTGCTCCTTTGGCAAGCTTGCTGATTCTGTTGGCACCCTCTAAGAAATTGCAGCTCCAGGTTCACACACACGCCCAGTGTCACGGTACCCTTACAGCCCTCAGTCTGCAGCGAAGATAGCAGCCGAAACAGCTGCTGCTGCTTTTTACAGGGTCTACCGGTCCTTTGTGCAGTACCACGTTCGAAATCAACAAGAAGCAGGAGAAAAACAAAAAAAACGGCGATAAGGGGGCCCCATGATGTCTCGCATGGGGCCCCAAGCGTATGTACACCGGAATAGCAGCAAAAAGCCTAAATCCTAAACCCTAAACTGGCATACCCTATTTAAAACGGAAAGGGGCGAGAGGGCTGGCCTGGGGCAGCAGGAACCTCGCCCGAACTGTGAGACGCCGTGTGCGAGAGTGTATGGTTGAAGGGTAAAGGCTCAGGATTGTTTCATCTGACACGCGTAGCAGTACAAGGAAATAAGGAATAGAAAAAGAATTGCAGGCTTCTGAGGGGAAGGGAGAAAACACGCTTCTGATGCTTGGGCAGCAGTCGGGTGTATCTCCTCTACAGTCCTTACGGGGTGAGGCGATGACGTGAAATGTCTGAAGTCATGTCGCCACTATAAAATGGCAAGGTCTGCGGGTGTCTGCTTGGAATTTTTTTGCTTATTTCGAAGCAGCCGAATTTTCTGGTCAGTTCTACGGGTACATTGGAGCCTTGATCTGAACCAGACAAACATGAATCTGCAGCTGGCTAAGCCAGACTGTGGGGGGGCCCCTCAGGCTTCTTTCCCCCTTCCTGCCGAGTGTGGCGCCTCGATGCTAGAGGCAAAAACCTAGACTGAACCCCCTAAGAATTTTCAAATGAGCAAACAAAAGTGATACATAGCGAGAAGACTGCTCTAGGTGCCAAATAGACGCCGGAGCTCCCTGATATTTCCTCTTCTCCGTTCCAAAGAGCAGGTTAAGGCTCCACACAAAGTCGGCAGCCCTTAAACCACCACAGACTTTTAGTCCTTGCATTCTAAAGGAGACACTTGGCACTCAACTCTTGGCTCTACTTCCATGAGCCCCCATCCAGGCCTACAAACCCAAATTTCCAGTCAGCGATTCCACATGCACACGCACACATGTACGCACACCATCACTTAGTGGCAGTGAAACTGCGGAAATTCCCCAGACCACATGCCGTATTTGTAAACCCTACTCAGGATTTACAAAGGAAGAATCTTAGCCCCAACCCCCCAACGCAAAACTTCAAAACCCATTCTCTGCGGATGTTCCAAAGCTTTCCGCTAGAGCGTTCCCTCGAAGGCTTCTGTAAACAGTTACTTAGCCCCACTATAAGAACAAGCTTAATGGAAAGTTTTCCAGTGTATCTCCAATAGAACTACCCAATTTCCCCACCTGCGCAGCTGAGATTCCAATGTGTGGACAGAAGGGGAGCTAGGGGGCGCGTGGAGGCACTTTTCAAGCACGCCCAGCTTTGATGACCAATTTTACACAGCGCCTACTGCACATGTATACAATAGAGACTCGCATTGTGTTCAGCTAGCGCTGTTTCACAAGAAGTACGATGCAAGACAGATAAGCCAACGCGTCAATTCCTAACCAGCTCTTGATTGAATACATCAACGATTCACCGCGGAATAGCATTAGCCAGATCTGGCATAATGCGATGCTGTGTGCCTGTGCACTGAATGCTATTCATTCCTGACCCAGAGCGGTCGGAATGTCTAGAGAGTGCCGCCACGCGCACCCTAGCTGTCCGTCTTGCCTCACGTCAGAACCTTGAAGGGGCGCGGTGCGAAAACTTGAGAGCGGTGTTGGAGGAGCCTTTCATAACTTTCACTTAAGTTTGCGACCATTCAAAAGGTACACCTCTCCCTTCGGAGACCTCAGATGGCACAGATGGTAGTTTGTCTTGACCAAATATTTTGATGATGCAATAATTCAATTTTAGTTGGCAGCAGGCTGGGAGGTAAAATCTATGTAAGGTAAGTCTTCTGCCTGCAGAGTTTTTCTACAGTTCAAGCCTTCATACATGCCCTGACTCGACGTGCTGTGTGCACACAAGCTCAACACTAAGCCACGGAAAAAGTGAGCAAGCAAAAGCAAGGAAATTCATCAATAAACAGACAAATCGATAA